CGCGCTGCACGGGGGCTCGGGTTGTTAACCGATGGAGATAGTGACGAGCGCGGCAAAGGTGATGACGGGTTTAAGTTTTTGAAGGATGAGATTTGTCGTGTGGCATTAATGTCGTGTTCAAGTTCTTGCAGTAGAAGTAATGTTGCGCATAAGTAAATACTGTATAGACGTTTGCAGTTGGAGTGATGACGAGCACAATTTTGTACAGCATACGTTTTGTCGCGCAGCACAAATGTCGTGTATAAATGCTGACAGGACAGGTAATGTAGCGCTTGTGTCGGTCAGAGTTTTTGTTGTAACACTTAAGTCGTGCAACCCTTTTTACGTGCTTACCGTAATCTTGCACTGCCTTCATTTATAAGTTTGCGTACTAATGCATGTGAAAACTTGATGATCACAAAACCCACGTCCGCTACCTTGTAATGAGCAACGCAATGGCGAGCCAACGCACGCGCGCGCAATGCAGCCCGTCAGTCGGCCTTTCGCCATGTGGTGGACCGGCTCCGCCCGGACCGGCCCGACTGGATGCTTAGCGAAATCTGCCGGCTGGCTGGAACAGGGCTCGGAATCCTTCGGCGGCGCGATGCTCATCATCCCCCAACGAAACATATTCTTATGGATTACGACTCTAAGACTCTTATGGATTACATAAATTCAAATAATGAGAACCCTTATAGCTGAGCTAGATGACGCCAAATTGGGCTCAGAGGACTTTTCTGCAGCAATGGACCCATTTTCTGGACCATGCGACCACCTTTATAAATTAAGTAGCCCATGCCCTAAATCAGGAGGTCCAATTTTGTTTAAGGAGGCCCAGACTTCCGATCCTAATAACCTTTCTGACACCCTTGGTCCCTTAAATGTACAATACAATTATTCTAGGGCCTCATATTCAGCTCAAAATCTGCAATTTTTACCTAAAAAGGGGCCCAAATCGGACAAGTTTGCTTCTAAGGACGTGCTGACCCACTGTATGGGTATGTAGGTGTTACCGTCATGTGGATAGTGGCATCTACATCTAGTAGCCTTCATTTTATGTAAGTTTCACTGACATACCCAAGGGCTGGCTGGCCTTTTAGGTCGGTTGAAGTGTTGTAAAATTTGCATATCTTCCGAAATGACGGCCTCATGCGTGTGTGGATGAAAAAGTCATTATGTAGACACTGGGCTTCTCTATCACTTCAACATTTGACAACTAGCAAGACCTACATTTCTACAAGATAAGTTGGGTCAGGCTATAATAGGTCACAGGACGTTTGCCTTAAGCCCTTCACTTTCAAAATTGACAGGATTGAGAATTGATCGCAACGGGCTCGCGACAGCTCCGCAATTGGGCGCAAAATGACCACTGGGGTCGACGCGCCCTAAAACGCCAATAAACCCCAACAGCTCCGCGGTTTTGCGCCCTATTCCGAATTGCATCGAGTGGCACATCTACGGGATCGCTTTTCGCGGATGTAGTACAAAATGGTTGCAATCGCATAGTATGGTTTTATAGACTAAATGAAGCTGTCTCTTTTGATGCACACACGGTCAGTGGTGGCGCCACGGATTTTGATTTGGGGGCGAGGAGGGTAATATTTTTCGGGGGGGGGGGCTCCTGGGCGAAATGAGGCCTCCACACAAGGTCGCCTCCAGAACAGTGTCGTATTCAAGGGGAGTGGCATCAAGGACAAGCAAAAAAACAAAATAAAACCAATATAGTACCAGAATGGAGGCCTTTTGATTATTCAGACAAGGGTCTCGATAACCTAAAATAGGGTCTACTATTGCAGACAAGGGCCTCCTAATGCACAGAGAAGTTTCTTAATCCAAAACAGAACGCTTCCGATTCACGAAGGTCTTTAAATCTAACCAAAGGGCCTCGATATCCCCAATCGGGGATTTTTTTTATCCGGAACCGCAATCATATGATGCATAAAATACATCACATGGCCGGGTTTACATCTATGCGTGCGTGCATCTATGAATTTACCCAACCCGTGAAGTCCCTCTAGCCCACACCCACCAGTTACCCATTCCCCATAAGTTTTACCCATACGGGACCCACCCGTTTGCTTTTTACAGTGCGTAGGCTCTGCATTCTGGGAAAGTTTCAGGAACGCGACGGACGTCGTCACGGACGGACGTTGCCCCTTTTATGGAGCACCAGCAACTGCAATTCTTTGAGATCTATGACTTTGGTTTGTGATGGACTGGTCCACAAATGGGTTTCCTCCCTTTGCACACACGAGAAGCTGAAACAATGTGGTCTCCTTAAACAGGCCTTCCAAGTCTAATGCGGTTTGCCAAACGGTATCACCCGCTGGCTCACCGCTCAAGGCGGCACGGTGTTGCTCATATGAGCAGCTGACATTACGTAAAGAATGCTTTACTCATGCACTTCTCCCAAAGTTTATCCAATAACCTGTTAGATGCTGGCCAGCCTTCTGCCCTTTCACTTTCAATCGGGTGAATACGCATTGGTAAACGACGAATGCAGGTGTATTTAACTGTTGCAGTATTTTATAGCCCCATTATCGCCATTCACGAGCGACGTGCGCTGAACGCGCCGCAGGATTTTCAAGGACGACACATTGCCCTTGACAATGTTTGTATGGCGAGTTGATGGCTGGGGTTGATTAAGCCGGCTCTTTTGGAGTGGTTCGGTGCGAGGGGAATGGTGCTCTTTGTTGTCAGGAACATCCAACTTAATGTTCACTCGGATTACAGCCCATTCCATTTAGGATCATCGTAAGTGTGTCCTGAGCTTGTGCTGGGCGTGTGTGCAAGGTTGCAATTTCTTATCCTATGGATAAGTTTACGGCCCCCTGTCCCTTCGAAGGTTTGCTATCAGTCTCCTCCTTTTTTAATACGTGGCACAAGTGCGTTACATCCGTGAACATTGTACCTTGCATGAAAGTTTGATAAGTTTGTCATTTTCACATGACTAAGTGTCATTCCCCCCCCCCCCCCTTCCCCATCTCCCGAGCTGTTTTGGCAAATATACCCTTGCATGAGTTGCTGAGTACCAAAGTAAGAGAGAGAACCCTGATGGCTGGGTGGTTGTTGTTGAATCGGTGGTGATATGTTAACTATCAATTGAATTTTGGTGATACAAAGCCCCTGTGGTAAGTGGTGATATATTATTGTCTGGAAGGGCTATTCTCCCATGATGGGAATGGCTTGTTGCTTGTAGCTGGCAGTGAACATGCTAAAGGCCTTGGTCAAAGGGCAGGCAAACTTTGCAGTACATAACATGTTGCTAAACTTTTGCTAGAGATTTATTGAGTTGACCCAAAATAAAATGGGTAGTTGTGAGGAGCCATTACTCATACAGCAAGCACTGCTTAGCTTTGATCCATGAAGCCAATCCATTAAAAAGGTTTGGATGAAATCTTTAAGATATGTTTTCTTTGGAGACATCCTGATGGTGTATACAATTTTGTATGCAACATTATGACTTTACCTCACACATTGTTATCTTGTAAAGTTTTTAAATTTGTTGGTCTGCCTTTATTCTGGTCTGCCTTTTTCAGAGCATTCCAAAGTAGCATTTTTAATTCCTTTAGTGTTCACCATTTAAAATTTATCATCATGTGCATTTTATTGCTACATTTGGTTCTTGGTTACCAGTGTTCATCCAATTATCTACTTGGCTAGTCCAGAAGTTAGAAAAGCTTTATTTGAATGCCAGGAAGGCTCCCAACTTGAGTGGTATGGCCACTGGGGCTTAGAGATTGAGGCAGGGGGGGGGGGGGGGCAAGGGAGGGAGGGGCTGGTCCCTTACTTTTTGAAAAGTATATTTGTTTATGGGTGTTGACAGGACAGATATAACAAAACATGACTGCAGGCCCCTTATATGAGAGGACATTTGTCATCCCCATAGGTAGGGCATGATGCTCTTCAGATGCTAATATATTTGCTACCAACCATGTTTTGCTTGTGCTCAGTTAGTGAGGTGCTGGTAGTGTAGTGGTTAACATGTCTGTGTTATGTGTCTGTGTTAACCACTGGGTGTCTGGGAAACCAGAGGTACAGGGTTTGATTCCTCATAGTGCCTGCCCTTCCTGTCAGGGTGAGAGGCAGGTGATCTCAGCAGCTGAGTGCATTGTAAAGTGCCAATGACACACACACACATGCTGGTGCTTAGTGTTGTGAGCAGCACACACACTGCTTTTATTGTTTGGCAGCATCAATATTCATGCATCTACATGCAAATCATTTAAATCAGGTTAAATTTTTATGTCAGTTAAGATTGGAAGAAATAGGTCTCATTTGATTAACATCAGAGCCATAAAATTCACTTATTGTGAAAAACCTGGGCAAAAGAGGAAAACTGTGCTGAGGCCCAGTCCAGTCAGCCCATATGATGTAGGACACAAGACTGCCAAACCATTGAATGGAGGAGAAAATGTATGCTGAGAGTATTTGCAGATGTGTTCAGCCTGTCATGCATGCTTGATCACAAACCACAAATTTACCCACTTTGCCTATGTTTTAAGGACTGACTGCAGGTGTTGGTAACCCAAGGTTTTGTATAGTTATATATATATATATATATATATATATATATATATATATATAATACATGACCACACACACACACACACACTCACGCACACATGCACGCACACACGCACGCACGCACGCACGCACGCACGCACACACGCACGCACGCACGCACGCACGCACGCACACACGCATGCACGCACGCACGCGTTAGTGCGTGCATGCTTGTGTCTTGCACCTGCTAAACGGTGAGGGTGAATGCGCCATCTATGAATCACTGAGATATCACTGAATCACTGAAATACTCCCACCCATAAATGCACCAGCTGCCTGCAGACAATGACTGGGATTGATGGGCTTGTGGTGACTGACCGTGATTGATCATCAACTGTGGTGTGTTATATCATAAAGCTTGGTCCTGCACTTGACTCATAGGACAGTTGTGATACAAACTCCTGCGCTGGTCAGTAATGATACTGTGTTTATAATATGTCTGGTTTCTTTGGCAGGCAAAATGTCTGGTGAAAAGGCAACCACACAAAGTGAAGATATGCCCAATAGATCATCCAACCAAATGAAGCAACATATAGTAGTGGCTACTCCTGAAGAACTGGTAAAACGGCTGGGAGGCAACAAAGCTATCAACAGGGTAAGTGGTCTGACACCACCATAATTATCATGTATGGAGTACAACACAAAAGTGAAGTAAAACATAAAACTCCACCTAATTTTGATTGGGTCAGAGATTTGATGCATCTGGGTGTGATTGGCCAGGTCAGGTGGATCAGGGATTTGGTGGATCAGGGTGCGATTGGCCAGGTCAGGTGGATCAGGGATTTGATGGATCTGGGTGTGATTGGCCAGGTCAGGTGGATCAGAGATTGGATGGATCTGGGTGTGATTGGCCAGGTCAGGTGGATCAGGGATTTGGTGGATCAGGGTGTGATTGGCCAGGTCAGGTGGATCAGGGATTTGATGGATCTGGGTGTGATTGGCCAGGTCAGGTGGATCAGAGATTTGATGGATCTGGGTGTGATTGGCCAGGTCAGGTGGATCAGGGATTTGATGGATCTGGGTGTGATTGGCCAGGTCAGGTGGATCAGGGATTTGATGGATCTGGGTGTGATTGGCCAGGTCAGGGGGATCAGGGATTTGGTGGATCGGGGTGCGATCAGCTGGTTCAGGTAGATCAGAGACTTGTTGGATCCTCTGAAACTATCCTCGCCTCCACTATAATTTTCACGTTGGCAACCTGTACTGCTATGTTTTGCCTGGAAAAGTGACTGCCCTATGCACAAAACAACGGCAATATGTACAAAGATACCTGTCAATAATATGGAACCATCGATACATGGTATCCAAGATGGTGGAAATCCTGTCTTTTGGACACCAGGTGGTGGACACCACCAAGTTATCGAAATGCTTTTTCCCTTTCGTCGTCATTGAATACCAAGACACATCTTGGCTGCAATCGCGGCGGCTTCCACCGGACCACCAGACCACATGCATGGACCACCAGAAATGTCGTACTGATCGAAACCCTACTCGTTTACGTCGTTCAAGTGGCCAGCGTCACGCGTGCCGCGCTCCGCAGATACTGATCGCCAACAATGGCATCGCTGCCGTCAAGTGCATGCGATCCATACGACGCTGGGCGTACGAGATGTTCCGCAACGAGAAGGTCATCCGCTTCGTCGCCATGGTGACGCCTGAAGACATGAAAGGTCCGTCACAATCAGCGCAGCGTCGCTGGTTTATCTTCGAAAGGTCGCGGCGGGAGGTCCTGCTTGGCGCGCGGCCACCAGCTGTGCTCGGCTTTGTAGTATTTGTCCAACAGTGTGGGGATTGGAGATAGCGTCTACTCGGCGTGCGGAGTCCCCTGATACGGGCGTGACAAGGACCGTCGGCGGTACGGCCAGCCTGTGTTGTTGATGCGCACCAAGCGTATCGCAAAGCTCGCTTAGCTCGCTTGCATCCGTTTTTTATTCTGATTGCCGCAACATATGGAGCTTTGCATAGTGCGAGCCGGGTGCGTAGCGGATTCCTGATAGCGTATGCCCGACACCAGCAGCTTGAATGTCAAGGTTGGGGTGTGCCAACTCGCTGAGACCGTCACGCCCCCAAATCCGTTATTGTAGATGTAGGTGTGGAATCCGTTATTGTGGATTTTTGTGGATGATGCATCGGGTGGGGGTAGCGCCCCGAGCCATCGCCAGCGCACGTGGTCTGCACGTGGCTGGCCCGCCACCTCCGCTGCCTCGGCAGGTCCGTGCGCCTGGTCGGTCTAGTACCGGCGGACGTGACAGGGCTCCCTCGCGCCCGCGTGCCGACGGCGCTCCGTGCCGGGCGCCGGGCTCCGGCCGGTGCTGAGCGGGCCTGACCTCTGACCGGTCCGACCCCGGCAGCCAACGCTGAGTACATCCGCATGGCCGACCACTACGTGCCGGTGCCGGGGGGCACCAACAATAACAACTACGCCAACGTCGAGTTGATCGTCGACATCGCCAAGCGGATGTCGGTGCAGGCGGTGTGGGCCGGCTGGGGCCACGCCTCGGAGAACCCGAAGCTGCCCGAGCTGCTGCACAAGAACAACATCGTTTTCATCGGGCCGCCGGAGAAGGCCATGTGGGCGCTGGGTGACAAGATCGCCTCCAGCATCGTGGCGCAGACGGCCGACATTCCGACGATGCCCTGGTCCGGCTCCGGTGAGAGTTTTCTGATCTTCGGAGACGTTCCCGCATTCCATAGGCCGGCTCAGGCGAATACTTGTTGACGTAAACATAGACAAATATGTGTACCATTGCTTATGACCGCGTTCTCCGGCCTAGCATGGCGTTGTTCTGAGAGTGCGTACTGTGCGTTTTTACGTGCAGCATAATTTCCCCAGATCCCAAATGGCCAGATAGCGCAGGCCCGCCTCTCATCCGCGCGCTGGCACTCGGGCAGGTCTGAAGGCGCAGTGGAGCGAGAAAGACGAAGGCCACGGCTCGCTGCGCATCTCGTCCGAGCTCTACAAGGCCGGCTGCGTGGCCAGCGAGGAGCAGGGCCTCGAGGCCGCCCGTCGCATCGGTTTTCCGGTCATGATCAAGGCGTCCGAGGGCGGCGGCGGCAAGGGTATCCGTAAGGTGGAGTCCGAGGACCAGTTCTTCAACCAGTACCGCCAGGTGGGTGGCGGCCGTGGTCCGAGGGGGCGGCCGTAAGGGGGCGATTGGTGTGACGATGTACGCGGCGGCCTGCGTCATGCGGATGGCATTGCCGGTGCGTGGTGGTAATCGTCATTGGCGTATTAACGAACGTGTGCGCGAGCAGGGGTCATAAGTGTTGTCTTAGTATGCAGTGACTGCTTGGCTGTTGGAATGCACAGCTGGCGGGGGCTGGAGGTCGTCTGTTAACATTCCCGTGTCACGTACCAAGCTCCCAGCATCTCGTGTGCGACAGGTGCGCACGGAGGTGCCGGGGTCTCCGATTTTCGTGATGAAGATGGCGACGCGCGCGCGCCACCTGGAGGTGCAGCTGCTGGCGGACCAGTACGGCACGGCTATCTCGCTGTTCGGCCGCGACTGCTCCATCCAGCGGCGACACCAGAAGATCATTGAGGAGGCGCCCTGTATCATCGCCGAACCGGACGTCTTCGAGCGCATGGAGCAGGTCGGGTGGTGGCGGCAGCGCCTGCTGGTGCCGTCCGTGACAGTGGAGCGCTTGCGGGCTGGGTGGTGGTGGCGGTGGTCTGTCGTGATGCTATCTGCCGTGGTCAGGACGCGTGCAACCGCCGTCAGTCGTCATGAGCATTGCTAGGGGATGTTGGAGGTTGTCGATGAAGCATTGGTGATGCGGCGGTTATGCTGGATATGCGGTCGCTGTCGCACTCGCAGACTTCTGTCGCATTCCACTGCTTTATTGGCTCCGTAGATTACGCGTCGTTGATTGATGCTTTACACCTAACCAACCATGTCCTACAGCCCCAGCAGGTCTGTATGAATGGGACGTGTATTGTGCGTGGCGCCCATACGCCGGCTGGCGTGGATAATCGACGCCCTGGGCAAGCGGCGCTGGGGCGGGTGGCTGACCGGCCGCCGTCCCACCCGCCAGGCCGCCGTGCGACTGGCCAAGATGGTGGGCTACGTGAGTGCCGGCACCGTCGAGTATCTGTTCGACGAGCACGGCCACTTCTACTTCCTCGAGCTGAACCCGCGCCTGCAGGTGGAGCATCCCTGCACGGAGATGATCACTGACATCAACCTACCGGCCGGCCAGCTGCAGGTGAAAGACTGCGTGGGTGGGTAGGTGGAGGGGGAGGGAGGGAGGGAGGGAGGGGGGGGGGGGGCAGGGCTCGGCTCGGGGGCCTCGGCAATGGTTGGTTGGGTTTCGGTAACGGTTAAGTTTCGTCTGCCAGTTGTGCTGATGGGCTGTACCATTAGGCTATGCCACTAGTGACCTCCGCTGCCTATGTCATTTTGGAACGGCCTGAGTTATGCGACACATGGCACAGAATGCAATGGGTTTAACAGCGCGGGTTATCAAGATACGGTCGGGCGGTGGACGCCTACCTGGTCGGTAATGCCAAACAAGGCCCGGGTAATAACTGGCCAGTAACCGCATGTTGTTCGCTGTGCTCACCACATCGCCGTTCGCCACGGGAGACCCGGTCATTCTGATGATTACACCACCCAGCCGTGCGCTGAGACGGTGACTGGATGGCCCGTCGCAGATCGCCATGGGGATTCCCCTGCGCCGGATCAAGTGCGTGCGCCTGCTGTGGGGCGAGTCGCCCTGGGGCGATTCCATCATCAACTTCGACGACATCCGGCGGCGCAAGATGCCGTTCGGTCACGTGATCGCCGCCCGCATCACCAGCGAGAACCCGGACGAGGGTGAGTGGTGCGCGAGGTCCGGTCAGCAGCGCGGCGTCTGGTGACGCGGCGGAGGGGCGCCGCCGCCGCTGACGGGCAGCACGGCGCCAGGCGGACGTGGTGGCGCGGTCGGAGACGACTCGGCCTGTCAAGTGCCGTGTTGGGGCCGTCTGCACTGTCGAAAGAGAGCCACCCTTGAGTCGCTTGGCAACTCGTGAAGCCGCCCTTTCTTGCTGCTCCTGTACATTCCGTTACATCTCAATAGTCGCCGGTCACCGTTGCTGCTTTTTGGTCCCGAGTTTGGTTTCGTCCGCTGCGCCCAGCCACTCGCTGGTCGCCGCCTCCGCTGCCTGCTCGGCCGCACGGCCGCCTGCCTACCCGTCTGATCGTCTGCTCCGGCCGGCGTTCAACCTCTGCTTGACTCTGACCGCGCTGTCTGGCGGCAGGCTTCAAGCCCAGCTCGGGCACCGTTGAGGAGCTGACGTTCCGTAGCAGCAAGAATGTCTGGGGCTACTTCAGTGTGGCCGGCTAGCGGCGGTCTGCACGAGTTCGCCGACTCGCAGTTCGGCCACTGCTTCTCCTGGGGCGACAACCGCGAGGAGGCGCGCGAGTGAGTGGTGGGAACGGGTCGTCGGACGGCGCGGGGACACAGTCCCAGCGGCTGGCTGGCTCCTGGTGAAGCCCCGTTACTCGTATTAAGGGGTTTGTGAGCGGCTCAAGGGCGGTTTGGTTGACCTCCCCGTCTGCTGGGCGGGCTGTGGGGAAGCTGGTGTCCTCAGCGGCTGGTGGGTACTGACAAAGCGTGTTTGAGATCGAAGTCACGCGACGAGGAACAGTGAGGGCGTATGGACAGTGGTGTGGCGATCGGAAGACGCGGGGTTCCATCCCCGTCACAGGGAATACAGAGAGGCGGCGCCGGCCCTGGATTCTGCCGGAGTGTCCTGCTCTGCTGAATGTCCCGCTACGGGCATTGGTATTTACCGGCGGGGATGAATGACCCAGGGATCTGGAGCTGCCAGCGCTGCAGACCTCCCATCTTGAGGTGTTAACCTGCGTCTGACTCTTCAAACTCCCGTGCTTTGACCCACCAAACTCGTGTTACAGAAACATGGTGATCGCTCTGAAGGAGCTGACGATCCGGGCCGAGTTCAGGAGCACCGTGGAGATCCTCATTACTCTCCTGGAGACGGACACGTTCCAGGTATTGAGCAGCGGCTTCCCCGTCCCAGAACGCCGCCAGACTTGGAATAGGTGGCCATGTGGCGCCGTTATCTGGTGCGGCGCGTGGGACAGCCATCTACGGCGACGTGAGCTTTACAGGAGCTCACGACGTTGCCGTCTGGGATGTCTATTTGGATAATAGTTGTTTGTGACACAGTCCAATTGGTCCGCATGACCCAGATACCACGTCCTAGGGCGGATTTGTTGAATATCTGGAAGAGATGCTTTGAAGAGAACTTTAACCGTGCATGAATGTCTGACAACAGCCTTTGAACACATTTTGAAAGCTGCATGAGTGCCAGATAGTGCTCATTCAACACATATTGAAGAGTGCCTCTCGCCCAGGAACAAACAAATCCCTACAAGTACGACGTAATCCCGACCTAAGTTGTCACCACATTGTCACCATTGTCACCATCCCCGCCGATGTCTGCCGAGTCGGGCTGGGCCCAGCCGAGCGAACGGTGACGAGCCCCTCTCCGGCAGAACAACGACATCTCGACGGCTTGGCTGGACCGGCTGATCGCCGAGCGCATGCAGGCCGAGAAGCCGGACACCATGGTGGGTGTGATCTGCGGCTCGCTGCACATCGCCGACCAGACCATCGCCAGCGCCTCCCAGAAGTTCCAGAACTCGCTCGAGAAGTGCGTGCGCTCTGCCGGGCGCCGTGGTGGGCGAGGGTCAGATGGGCCAGGGCACACCGCGATGGTGTGTGGTTGGCTGGGGAAATTGTCCGTTGATGTCCAACTATGATGAACTATATATAGACACTAACGAGCAATCGCCATTGTAAGGCATCGGAACATAGTGAATATAATGGATGTGGTCCCTCAGTTTCATAATCGGAGGTGTTCAATTAAATTACAGAAGTACTGCTTGTTTAGGTGAGTGCACTTATTCACCAGACTAGCTAAAACATCGACTGTGGGACGAGCGCGCGACTCAGCGCGGTACACCGCGTTGTCGTCTGGCGCGGACTAGCCTGGGCGCATCGGCGAGACCGCTGGCGCTGTCTTGTGACCCGCCCCGCCGGTGCCCAGGGGCCAGATCTTGCCGATGTCTTCTCTGATGAACTCCGTGGACGTGGAGCTGATACTGGACGGGATCAAGTACGTGGTGCGCGCCTCGAGGACGGGGCCGAATCACTACTTCCTGTCGCTGAACGACTCGTACAAGGAGATCGAGGTGCACCGGATGAGGGACAGCTCCATGCTGCTCTCCGTCGACGGCATGAGCTTCAACACCTACATGAAGGAGGAGGTGGACAGGTGGGTGCTCGCCGATGGGTGAAATCACTGCTGAAGGGACAGAGAATGCCGACACACCGACTGGTATAGTCATGGGAATCTCCTCCCAGTCGTGACCAGTGCTGACTGTTACTTTACGTCGGGGTGCGGCCTCGTGCGCATGTCACCGGTGTGAAGTCGCACACGATTCCGTACGTAAAGCGTTGCGAGTTGCGCGTGATGTTTGCCTCCCGTGCCGTGCGAAGGGCGCCCCACACCACCGACGCGTGGTCGGTGGTCCTCAGCGCGGTCCCGTCCCCGCAGCGCCCTCACGCCGCGCCCTGGCGCGCGGTGCCGCCGGCGCCAGCGCCGGTGAGTCCAAGTGTGCAGTGCCGGCCGCGCCCGCCCGCCCGCCCGCCCGCCCGTCCGCCGCTGCCACCGCTGCCACCGCTGTCACCGGGGCACGTTGTGTGTGTCTCGCCTGGCCCACCGGCACGCCCCACCCTGACGCCGCCGGCGCCGCTCCGTCACATGTGACCCGCACGGCTTGTCTAGCACGAGCGGTGGCATAGCTGGCGATTTGGAACGGTCTGCGGTAATCGTCTGGTACCTGGATACTGTGTGGCGTGGGGTAGCTGAGTGGTGCGTGGCAGCGGTTCGGTGGGGCATTGGTGCAGCGGTGGTGTGGCGTGTGACGGCGGTGTGGTGTGTGACGGTGGTCTGGCGTGTGACGGCGGTGTGGTGTGTGACGGTGGTCTGGCGTGTGACGGCGGTGTGGTGGTGATGTGGCGTATGACGATGGTGTGGCATGTGACGGCTGTGTGGCGTGTAACAGCAGTGTGACGGGTGACGGTGGTGTGGCGTGTGACGGCTGTGTGGCGTGTGACAGCAGTGTGGCATGTGACGATGGTGTGGCTTATGACAGTGGTGTTGCATGTGACGGTGGTGTGGCGTCTGACGGTGGTGTGGCGTGTGACAGCGGTGTGGCGTGTGACGGTGATGTGGGCGGTGGTGTGCTGTGTGACGGTGGTATGGGGTGTGACGGTGGTGTGACAATGTGGCGGTGGTGTTGCATGTGACAGTGATGTGGCGGTAGTGTGGCGTGTGACGGTGGTGTGGCATGTGACGGTGGTGTGGCATGTGACGATGGTGGCAAATGACGGCATTGTGGCGTGTGACGGCGATGTGGCGCGTGACGGCGGTGTGGCTTGTAACGGTGGTGTGGCATGTGACGATGGTGTGGTGTGTGATGATGATGTTGCGCTGGTGTGGCGTGTGACGGCGGTGTGGCATGTGACGGCGGTGTGGCGTGTGACGGTAGTGTGGCGTGTGACGGTGATATGTGTGACAGCGGTGTGGCATGTTGTGATATTGTGGCGTTGACGGTAGTGTGGCGTGTGACGGCGGTGTGGCGTGTGACAGCGGTGTGGCATGTGACGAGGGTGTGGCGTGTGACGGTGGTGTAGCTTGTGACGGCGGTGTGGCGTGTGACGGAGGTGTGACGCAGGTGTGACAGCAGTGTCGTGCGGCACAGTATTGCTTAGCGGTGCAGCTCTGTGAGGCCGGCCTAGCTGCTCTGGCGGTAGCTGGGCCACGTCAGCACTCGTCAGCACTTGCCGTGGCGGCGATCCGCGCTGGTGACCCCCGCTGGTGCCACAGTTACCGGGTGGTGATCGGCAACCAGACGGTGGTGTTCGAGAAGGAGAACGACCCCACCATTCTACGCGCGCCCTCAGCCGGCAAGCTCATCAACTACCTGCTCGACGACGGAGGTCACGTGGCCGCCGGCCAGCCCTACTGCGAGATCGAGGTCTGCCCGACAGATGGAGGGCACTGGGAGGGGGACGCCGTGTGTGGGGGTGGGTTGGAGGGTGGGGGGGGGGGGGGGGGGGCTGTTGCGGAGGGGACGTTCATGTCAACTGATCAGCTGCGTGGCCACTGGGTTACCTTGCCGCTGCAAAGGATGCGATCCGGGATTGAGAATGGTCTCTGCGCCATACGTATATTGTGGCGGCCATCTTTTTGAGACGGTGCGGAGTGCGTTGCGACCATGTGAAGAGCATCTGGTCTTGAAGATAGCTAACGCCTTTTCGTTTAAGGTAATACGTGATGTGGTATGCGTGTTTGCCAACACGGCAGCTCAAGTGAAAAAGAGACGCCGCTGGTGGCGTATCTTCAATTAGGTCACTCCGCTCTAATAAGGCACGGCAATAACCAAGGCTCTCTGCGCCCATTCCACCATCACCTGTGTTCTGCGCCCAAGGCTGGCGTCTGAGTAACCTCCGTGCCGCGGGCGTGACCCGTCTCCGTGTGTGGCGCAGGTCATGAAGATGGTGATGACGCTCCACACCGTGGTGTCGGGCGTCATCACCTACAACAAGCGACCCGGCGCCGTGCTCAACGCCGGCAACATCATCGCGCGGCTGGAGGTAGGCGGCGCCGGTGCCGGCCGCACTGGCAGTGAACAGCGTTGGTTGCATTCGATGTTTACCGCCTGTGCGCTCATGCCAAAACGCAGCGCCGATTCTGTGTCGGTGGGTGCGGTGCGGCTGGTTTGTCAGCAACTGCTGTGGATATCCCACTGTTATAATGTACACACTGCTCTGTTCTGCAAGCAACTGTTGGCTGCATCGCAACGGTTGTGATGGTCGTCTTCAGTAGCATTGCATTGGTTTTCACTTAACAAGCTGGCATGCAGATGACGTATTGAGATGTACCTGAAGGTGCCAACCTTGTATATAGACACATATACACAAACTGTCTGCTTCTTAGCGTAAATGGACGAAGTTATGAAAGGACCATCACATATTGCGTGTTGTTCGGTGCATTTGCGAGGAACATTCTGCACTTACGTAAGACAGTGCTTGCATGCTGTATTGCTATCATAAGCACCGTCTTATACTATCACGTATGTATGTATGCATATATTATTACTTGATATATATATATATATATATATATATATATATAAAGAAAGGAAAAAAGGCAGCACATACCGCTGTCATTGGCTATTGGCGGGTGACCTTTTGCCCTTGACCTGTGACCTGCCGCCGGGCCGCGGCAGGTGGACGACCCGAGCCGTGTGACGCGCGCCCGCCGCTTCACCGGCAAGTTCCCTGAGGTGAAGAGCGACCTCAAGGTGGTCGGCGACCAGCTCCACCAGCGCTTCCACTCCGAGAAGCAGCGGCTGGAGAACATCCTCAGTGGTGAGAGGCGGCCGGGGGCGAGCTCGGCGCACGGCCGTGAGGGCCCGGCTCGACGCCCGCCGCCGGCTGTGTGGCGTGGCATTCGTCCGCTGCGAGCGGCGTGACATAGGGGGCGCTGCTGTACCTCGGCGGCGCGTGCGTCGGGAGGGGAGCCCAGCAGCGCGGGGCACCAGCGCGCCGGTCCGGCAGCGCGCCGAAACACTGGTGTGTGTTTGTGTGGGAGGGGAGGGGCGGAGAGCGAACCCACGCGGCTTCAGGCGCAGCACCATGCAGCGCCGTATACGGTCGCGGCATAGAGCGAGGCTGATCAGCCGTGTGGGCGTCACTAGCGAGTCACCTCCGCCGGCCGTCGAGGCGTCTGCTGAACGCGGGCGCCTTGGCCCAGTTTGACGCAGTGACTGGGACCAGCACTTTGAGTCAGGCCACCGTAAATGTCTTAAAAGATTAGGTCGATCGTAGCATTTTACGTTTTGCGTTTGTAGACTTGTTCCTGTGAGTTTATGTGGGAAGTCTCTGCAGTACTCCACGTTCGGCTATGTCGTGCGGATCGCCGCATGACCCGCTACCGCCCCTATACTTAGTGCCGGCTCCCACAGAAGTAGTGGTGGACGCTGGCGTCCAACCGCTTCACCGCCGGTGGCTTCCATCTGCCGCGCCAGCGAACTCAGAGCGCATACGCTATGGCGCGGACAGGGGTCGTATTCAGTCGGCCGGTATTTGTCGTATTTTATTGTGTTGTAGGGCAGACGTGCAAAACTTCGTCCCGTTCAGCGGGGCAGCGGGACGGTTTGCTTGGTGTCGTGAGCGAGCCGCCCAGCGCCGCTCAGCTAGCTGACAGCAATCGATGTGCGACATTCGGCATCAGTAGGATCCATTCGCAAGGGATGACCGGGAGATGGGCCGCTTCTTGCAGTCGACATGACCTGAGTGGCGTGCTTGGTGTCGCGACACTCGCCGGGCCCCGCTGGAATCCTGTGTGGTGTGGCGAGACTCGCCGGGCCCCCTCTGGAATCCTTTGTGGTGTCACGGGACTCGCCGGGCCCCGTTGGAATCCTGTGTGGTGTCACGAGACTCGCCGGGCCCCCGCTGGAATCCTGTTCGGTGTCATGAGACTCGCCGGGCCCCGCTGGAATCCTGTGTGATGTGGCGAGACTCGCCGGGCCCCCGCTGGAAACCTGTGTGGTGTCACGAGACTCGCCGAGCCCCGCTGGAATCATGTGTGGTGTCACGGGACTTGCCGGGCCCCGCTGGAATCATGTGTGGTGTCGCGAGACTTGCCGGGCCCCGCTGGAATCCTGTTGTGGTGTCACGAGTCTCGCCGGGCCCCTGCTGGAAAACTGTGTGGTGTCGCGAGACTCGCTGGGGCCCCGCTGGAATCCTGTGTGGTGTCGGGAGACTCGCCGGGCCCTGCTGGAATCCTTTGTGGTGTCACGAGACTCGCCGGGCCCCGCTCGAATTCTTCAACGTTGTTGATCTTGATATGCGCTCGTGACGTTCATTAATTATCGCGTGCGTTTTCAATTCGCAAACGCGACGCTCATAGTCGAGGCTGGCTGAGCACCGATAAACGGCCAGCAAACACCTTGGCGGAAAGGTAGAGCCTTCCGATGCATGTCGGAAATGGACGGTGGGTGACAAAAACATTAGCCGTTCTGTCTGCCGCGAATTTAAATGGACGTCCTTTTAAATGCATTATTTATAGCATTTTCTACAGATCAGGACATACAGCGGCGACGATCTGATTACTCGAATCATTGCAAGGATCTTAAATGTAGCAATCATAGTAAGTAGTCACCAGGCTAGTAAGGGCATGTCGCAGATCTCTGCAGTTGGACAAGCAGGCAGCATAATTTGGCAAAATTGGTGTAGCATTATGTTCGCGGAATTTAACTTTCTCGCGTCGCTGCCATCTAGCAGAATGCGGCTACGGATCAAGTGTTTGTGACCAGTATAAAACGGAGAGAGAGAGAGAGAAAGAGAGAGAGAGAGAGAGAGAGAGAGAGAGAGGAGAGAGTTGAAGAGGAGAGAGAGAGAAGATAGAGAGAGGGAGATCGAGAGAGAGAGAGAGAGCGAGAGAGAGAGAGAGAGAGAGAGAGAGAGGGAGAGAGCGAGGAGATAGCGGGGCGGGGAGCGGGACGGGAGCGGAGCGGAGCGGAGCGGGAGCGGGAGCGGGAGGGGAGCGGGAGCGGGAGCGGGACGGGGAGCGGGGCGGGGCGGGAGCGGGAGCGGTGAGCGGGAGCGGGAGCGGAGCGGGAGCGGGAGCGGGGAGCGGGAGCGGGAGCGGAGCGGGAGCGGGAGGGGAGCGGGAGCGGGAGCGGGAGCGGAGCGGGAGCGGGGAGCGGAGGAGCGGAGGCGGGAGCGGAGCGGGAGCGGGAGGGAGAGGGAGCGGGGAGCGGGAGCGGGAGCGGGAGCGGAGCGGGAGCGGAGCGGGAGCGGGAGCGGGAGCGGGAGCGGGAGCGGGAGCGGGAGCGGGCGGGAGCGGGAGCGGGAGCGGGAGCGGGAGCGGGAGCGGGAGCGGGAGCGGGAGCGGGAGCGGGAGCGGGAGCGGGAGCGGGAGCGGGAGCGGGAGCGGGAGCGGGAGCGGGAGCGGGAGCGGGAGCGGGAGCGGGAGCGGGAGCGGGAGCGGGAGCGGGAGCGGGAGCGGGAGCGGGAGCGGGAGCGGGAGCGGGAGCGGGAGCGGGAGCGGGAGAGAGCTTGAACTGCTTTTCAACTCGCAACACTCGTGTGACGGTTTTCTTTTCCTCAACTCAAACGTTGCCCCACGGTCAGCCAAACGGCAGAGTTTCAGCTGCCGTAGCTGGGGTTGCCGGTGCTAAGAGGGCCGCCTCTAGTCTGCTGGCCGTGCTGAAGTGCCCTTTGCATGTCCGTCCGTCCGTCGCAATGAGCTGTTTGTGTGGCTACCCGTGTCTATCGTGCTGAGGCGGCGGCTCCGTGTTTGACCGTCGTGCTGAGGCGTGTTGCTGTCTGTGCCGCAGGATACTGTCTGCCCGAGCCGGTATTTGTACCGCGCATGAAGGAGACGGTGGAGAGCGTGATGGCGGCGCTGCGGGACCCAGCGCTCCCGATGCTCGAGCTCCAGGTACGCCTCGTCTCAGTTTCCTATCTCCCTCTCCCCTTCCTTTCACCTCCCCTTCACCTCCCCTTCACCTCCCATTTCCCTCCTCCTCCCCTTCCCTTCCCTTTCTTCCCCACCTGAGCACTACCGGCGCGACGAGTTAGCGTAACATTTACACGGGTGTTGAGGGCTGGCCAGTGAGGCTGGTTGCTGCTTTTGTTCGCTTCGATGCTGTTTCGGCCAGTTCTAAATGCTCACATGTCACAAAGCTGCAGTGTTTTTTCCTGGTACCAGCGCCATGAGCGTCCTTCTTTGCTGCTCTTCTGCAACGTTGCTGTCCACTATCCATTGCAATGCTGCAGATAGTACTCACCTGCGCCAGCCAATAGGCCGCCTGTGAGCTGGCACGCCCCCCCCCCCCCCCCCCTCAGGACATCATCTCGTCCATCTCTGGCCGGGTGCCGGTCGTCGTCGAGAAGCGTATTCGCCAGCTGCTCAACCAGTACTCGTACAACATCACCTCGGTACTGACGCAGTTCCCCAGCCAGAAGATCGCCAACGTGATCGACAGGTGAGCTGGTGCGGCAGTGGGCTGGGTAGACCGACCCCGGAACTGCGCAATGATGTGCAGTTTGGTAGACCCAAGCTGCGCGAGGGAGTGGTGGACAGTGGGGTTGGGTAGACGACCACGGATAGCTGCGGCAACAGGTGAGCTGGTGCGGACAGTGGGGCTTGGGGTAGACCCGACCCCAGATAGCCTGCGGCGAGTGTGCCAGTGGGGTTGGGTAGACCGACCCAGTAGCTGCGCACGGTGACTGGCGCGTGGGCTTGGGTAGACCCGACCCCAGATAGCCTGCGGCGACAGGTGAGCTGGTGCGGCAGTGAGGCTTGGGGTAGACCCGACCCCAGATAGCCTGCGGCGACAGGTGAGCTGGTGCGGCAGTGGGGCTTGGGGTAGACCCGACCCCAGATAGCCTGCGGCGACAGGTGAGCTGGCGCGGCAGTGGGGCTTGGGGTAGACCCGACCCCGGACAGCCTGCGGCAACAGGTGAGCTGGCGCGGCAGTGGGGCTTGGGGTAGACCCGACCCCAGATAGCCTGCGGCGACAGGTGAGCTGGCGCGGCAGTGGGGCTTGGGGTAGACCCGACCCCGGACAGCCTGCGGCAACAGGTGAGCTGGCGCGGCAGTGGGGCTTGGGGTAGACCCGACCCCAGGTTACCTGCGGCGACAGGTGAGCTGGCGCGGCAGTGGGGCTTGGGGTAGACCCGACCCCAGGTTACCTGCGGCGACAAGAGGGGTGTGGTGCTCTGTGTCTCAGCTGCTTAACAGTGGTTCGTCCTATCAAAGTAGTGTTGGACTCTGTATTCAGTCCAGGGTCGACCCAGAATCAGTCAAATTATGTGTGGGTCAGGGTGAAATCGGTTTTGATGTGCCCAGGTCAGATCGGGGGTGGTCATCGACTACAGTCGCTGATAATTCGACCCAGCTATACATGTGAACAACACCTGTTCGCATGCTTGTGATATGTGTAGCCAAGGTTAAGTTGGATGGTTTACTGGCTCTTCAAAAATATTTCAACTGTTCGCTTTTTGTAACCTTGAAAGCAGTTCATATGTTATGCTGTTGCCATCGGCAGTGCGGCTTCAGGGTCCATTCCGATACAGAGCCGCATCTCCCTGTGTCCGAATTAGAGCCGACTCAAAATCGACTTTTACCGCAGTCGGTAGAACCCGTTATCTAGCAGAGTTAGTGTGACTTAACTCAGCGTGCCGTGAGCAACAGCTTGAATCGATTCCACTGCAGCGGTATCAAATACCTGTGCGCCCAACTATTTAATATAACCAGACACCCGCGCCTTTACTGGAGCGTGCAGTTGCTGTGTCTGAACCGCTGCTCAAACGGTGTCAATAGCTGGGTTGAACAGTCGGCACGTGGCTGTCGTGAGCGTGAGGAATTACGAGGAACAATGCATGTTGTAAGCACCTGAGCGGTTCTCCTGTCTGGCTTAACTCAACATGTCAGCAGCGCGCCCGTGTGTGCCGTCTGACCTCCCCACCCGTGTGGGCCGTCTGACCTCCCCACCCG